GTAAAAATCTAAGATTCGTGGTAATCTACTCAAACGTTGCTCTTACTCATTTTTCTTAAGATTTATGATGAAATTGCTAGGTTCTTCATGAAAGGTGACAAGATCTACTAGTTCATGCTTCATCACATTTAATTAATAGAGAGGAGTGGGTGTGAGATTAACACTCACTAGAGACTGTGGTGCTTTGAGATGAATTCAGTACATTCCAAGGATAGAGTTGTTGGAAGCACCATCTGGAAGACATTTGCCCATAGTGATACAAATTCTACTTTCTCATGAATCTTGGAACAATTGACTATCTAACCTCTTGCCCAGCGATGGGTTTAGGTGTGCCCTAACTAAATTTAGAGAAGATGGACACTTGGGAGAAGAAATTCGGTAGATTTGAATAAAGGAAAAAGAAAAATCTCATGTAAAATTATTATTTTGTGGAATTGTGATCTGGTAATGAGTTATCAAGAATTTGTGTGTTAGTGGTAAATATACCAATGAACCAGACTTAACGCTTTGAGCAGTTCTGAGAATTGCTATAGTACACACTCATTTATATTTTTTAATGGCATTCACAGCTTGGAGGACAGTACAGTCAAATGAAATTTATAAGGCACCCTTTATCTCCATTTATAATGTAGATGTTTTAATCTAAAAGAACAAAAGTCTCTTTACTCCCTTGCTCGCTGGAGCTTGAGGCTTAGATAATCAACAAATAGGATACTTTGCCCCCAGAATAATTCTGTGACTGGTTGAAGCAGTGCCTTGGCCTGATTTTTGAAGGATCATGAACTGGAGCTTGTGCTAGCCAAGGGAGAACCATTTCCTCTTTCCACACTCCTCTCTATTAATAAAGTTTGTGTTCTCTGTATGTGGCTTGTTAATGACAGGGGTGTTAACGACCACAGTTAATCTTCCTCCTCAACTCTTTCCTAATCCAGTCTCTTAAACAGACATTTAGAAAGCTTTTAACTCCTCTTGAGTTGGGTGCTCATAGGCTTTTGGTGGAGGTGGAGTGATAGTTAGCAGCCCATTTAACAAAACCTGAGACAGCGGGGACAGCTGTAATGTGCCATCCCTATGCTGTGTTTTTGTTAAAATGTCACATGGCTTATACTTTGGAAATCATAAATCTAGTGGAAGAAAACATCTTTATAGAGGGTATTTTAGTTTTATGCTGTATGTGTTACAAACCTAAAACCATTGGTACTTCTAGATCTATAAAGAGCAAAGAACACAAACCAGATTAAAATGGTTCTGTAAATTTGGTTGCTTTTCATCTGTTTTATTTGCTGCAATAAAGCTATAAAGAGGATGCCTTGAAGACAATGTTGTAGCTGACAGTTTAATCTTCGCATAAGCCACCAGCTTTCCCCAAGGGCCTTAGGGGAGAAATGGGAGTTTCTCAAGCCTAGACCAACTGAAGTCACCCATCAGTGGCATATTAATACATGTGATAGGGACCTTTGCATATGCCCTTGCCCTTTCCTACTCTTTAGAATGACTTTCTTTATAGAAGATTTTGCCTTTTTAGTGGGCTTATAAAATTTATATTGAAACTCTAAAATAAAGAGCTCATTGATTATGCATTTTGACATTTGGTTTGACTAATGTCAGTTTAGTAGGTAGTTCAGTGAGGCAGCTTAGCTGTCGGTTTCATTACTTTTTAAACAATACAAAGAAAACTTAGAGAAAAACTTAGAATATATATAATACATATATATGCTTTTGCTCGTAAGTCGTGATGAAAATACAGTGCGCTACACCGAGATCTAAGAAAAGCCACCAGGACAGTTGACATTGAAAAGTAGTGACTGGAGGGACTAGAGCAGAGCCTGAACTAGACAGAGTAGACAGATACCAGGGATCTCACGTGGGTGGTTCTCTGTTTCCAGGATTGATTGGTTGATGCAAACAGCTAATCATTACATCTCTTGTTCTTCTGGATTGCTCCGGCTCTCAGTAATGCCTTCTCTGTAATTTCTGGGCACTGGCAGTTTTTACCTTTTTTTTTTTTTTTTCTTTTACCCGTTTGTCCCTCTCTTTCTGCTTCACCTCCTCACCTCTTCCCCCCCCCCTTCTTTTTTCTGGAAGATTCATGTGTTAAAGAAGTTTCCTGTCATCGACTTGGAATGTGGGTTCTGACTATGCCTGACCGCAAAGCTCTTTGATGTTTGTCCAAGGCTGAATTTTCACCAGATCCCTGGTTTAGGTGTTTTTCCCCTAGCACTCAGAGGCCTGTAAGGTGAATTTGCCTTGTATCGTTGATATGAAGAGTTGGTGGGCCTGCTCTTTCTCGTGATCTGATGGGCCATTAAATTGCTGGATTCTGTGGTTGGTGATGCCTTTACCAGAGAGTTCCTGTGTATGTTCAAGAAAAGGCTGAGAGCTGTTATGTCTGAAAGACTCTAGAAACTTGAGAAGCTCACCCCTTCCCATGGAGATTTCCATAAGGATAATAAGGTTGTGCTCAGAGGCTCAGCCTCTCTTTCTCTGTCATGGTATCGGGATTCTACCTTAATCAAGCCATCATCCTGCCAGCCATGTCTCATTTCTCACACTGGAATGCTCCCTCCGTCCAAGCTCAGTGTGAACCACCAGTCTTGATGCTTTATCTGGTCCAGGCTCTAGCCCTTAAATTGTCCGTCTGACTCTGTGTTTCATTTGACCCTAATACACTGGGTCGCACTGTCTAAAAGAGAATTACGTCCCCTCCAGTGTCTGAGTGCATTTCTCATTTACTGCTGCTCCTGAGCAGATCTGTAACTTCAAGGTTAAGATAAGACACATTCCATCAGAACTATGTCGTCATCCTTGCCAGCTTCTGGTCTGTGACTGTCCAGGAGATTTACAAGACAATTGCATGCCATTCTTTACAGAATATTATGGTTGGACTCTGACTCCTGGCATAAGGCCCAATTTGATTTGTCAGCTGTTACAAAACCCATTTCCCAAAGAGAAAGGGATCTTAGCCATGTGCCTTTTAGGCAGTTCTTAAAAGAGTGGGAAGGAGGGAATTGATCTGGCTCTTTATTTCCTGATGTTTTAAGGAGAAGGATGGACACCTGAATGTTTTTGTCCCTTTCCTCCTTGAATTCCCTTGTTTCGCCTGAAAGGTTTCGCTAAAATGTTAGCATTGCTGTCCTTCTTTCCTGTCCTTTATCCCTTTACAGAATTGCTGTTAAGTCTTTTCATTCTGCCATCTCCAATGCTTTCCTGAATTTTAAGGAGTAAGAATTTTGCCCTTGAGAGAAAGGGTTACCTGCCTTTTCTCTGAAGGTTTATTAGTTTACCAGCACCTGGTTAACAAAGACACAGTTCCTCCTTTCTTGCTCTCTAACATGTTGAACTGCAGGAGTTACTGCATGTGATATGGTTTAATGGCTTAGGAATTTGGAAGGTCACATATTTCCTGCTGCTGTTGTATTAGGCCCTGTAATATTTTTACAAAAGCTTCTCGTTGGGGGACTTAACAGCCCTTTGGTTTCAACATAAACTCACTCTTTCCCTAGGTGGTAGGCAGTGGGGATTTATTTGGCCCACTTTAGTGATTCTGGGGTTAGAGCTAAAATTTATTTACTCAAGATCACACATGGCAAGTTAATCACAGAATCACAACCCTGATCTAATTCCTTTGGCATTGTTTTCATATCCCTTAACTACAAAAAGTTTTAAAAAGTTAGGAAGAATCGAGAAAGGCAGTTTTTACTCAGATTTCCTGATGGGTCTATTCAAGGTTGAAGAAATCCTCGTAGTTGAAAACTGTCCACTTTGCCCTCATACCCTACAGTTTCTTCTGTTTGATAACCAAAATAATAACCAGTCTTGATGCTTTATCTGGCCCAGGCTCTAGCCCTTAAACTGTAAAAGAATCACCATTCTTTTTTTTCCTCAGTCGGGTTCTTTGCTTTTGATTGTCCCTTTTTCTTAATCTCCTATGGCAGCAGCCTCTATCTCTAAAAGACCCATATCTGTAAAGCAGAGAGCAGAGTTTTGGAGCTCTCTAAAATGTTCTTAGGGCCAGGAGAAAGGAATTCATGGGACTGCGAGTCTTAATTCTCTTTTCTTTATTTCAGTCTTTCTTTTTTCAAGTATTAGGGATTCTTAATATACAAAGTTTTAAATTACTATACTGTATAATTAATGTTCCAGGTGGGTAATTATTTGAAAATTTGTTTTATAACATTACAGGAACAACTAATGAGAAGTGGTTTTAATAGTAATGGTTGTGACTGGACTGCTCCCTCCCTTCTCTTTTTTAAAACTACTTAAGAATTAATTTTTTTTCTATCTATAATTTCAGCTGAAAGGTTCTTTGGTAGTGCTTCAAGTCGCTACATTCTGTTTCTGTATCCAGTGATTCCCCCCAAAGGGAAAGTTGTATAGCATCTTTGAAATCCTTCCCTTCCCCCTCTCCGGTTAGTCTCTGCACCCCACCCCCACCCCAGCAATCTTAATTAACTGTTCAGTGACAGATGGTAGAAAAGGCCTTGTCTAAAGTGCTTCTGGTGGGCTGGATTAGGGGGGTGGGTAGTTTGTACTGATCTTGAAGAAGGAGCTAGCCTTTCCCCGCCTCCCGCCCCCCCCCCAGTTGAGCTATAATCCTGTTAGATCTTAAAATGCTATTGATTAATTCCCAGTGCTCTTAGAGGAATAAGCACAAGTTTTGGGTTTAAAATCCAAGCGCCAATTCCCTAGAGCTCTGAATGCCTTAGCCTTGAGGCCAAGGGAGGTACCTTCCAACTTCTCCACCCAGTCTTCACTGAAAAGAAAAGTTAAGCCTTTTAACTTTTCCGTTTGCCTCTCCCCCCCGCCCCTCCCTTAGTCTAGTAAGGCTGCCAGTTGCCATGGCAACGGACTGGGACAGCTGCGCAGTGGCGCCTAGGCAGCTGGGTGGGGGCGGGGGAGCTGCCAGCCCGCCAAGCCCCAGACCTGGGAGGGGAGGCCCCTTCTGTTAGCCCAGAGGGAAAGAAAGAACTGGGGCGATCCGGTAGGTAAAGGAGGGAACCCCCATTCATCTGCTGCCTCTGGGGCTTCTCTTCTGCATGAAGGTGTAAAGGTAGATTTTCCTCTTTTCTCCCTCAAACTGAAGAGCACATATGTAAATCCTTGTTTTTCCTTGTGAGGCAGGGGAGGCCATAGCCACAATGCTTCACTGCATGCATCTAACCCGGGGCTGGTTTTAACCCTGGCGCTCTGACCTAAGCTGCTCAGCTCCCGGAAATTCCAAGGTGAGTGGGGGCGGGGGTGGGTTACTCTCCTTGGAATATGACATTTCCTGTCTCTGGTGAGGTTGGAGGCTGCTTTTATTTTAAATAAATCAGATTTTTTTTCTTGAAGCTTAGGACTTTCCCCTGAATTCATGGAAAAATTATTTTGAAACCCCTCACCTACATTACCCCATCCTCCCACCCCCTCTTCCAAATAAAGTATGTTAATGAAGACATAGTTTTATTACGAGGCACTAATGGGTACAAACAGTTTTTTGGGTGGGCAGACCTATTGCTAGTAAGTTCTGGAGGTATGGTTTCCAACTATATATTCTGGGAATAATTCCCTAAAATTTGCTAATTTGAAGTAAATTGATAAATGCAACTTTTTATGCTACTCAAACAAAATTCCGAGATCAGTAGCGACCTTCCCTATTCCTGGGGTGGTCTTCTGATCAGGATGGAAATATTTTTAGTGCTGAAAAAAAGCTTTAAAGGTTACAGCAAAATAAAAATAGAGTTCAGCTAAGAAAACAATTCCTGCTACTCTGTAATCCAGACTCTAGGCACCATTTAACATGGTTAAGGAAGAATTCTTAAAAATGATTGTGGGAATTTAAAAAACTAGATTCTCTGTTGAGTACCCCTGGTTGTGCATATTTCTGAGCTTAACTCAATTTCCATTTGTGTTGCCTTGCTTCAGCTTTCCTTGGGCCTATGAATGGTTCCTCTGTGTTTTGAGGCTTCATGTTGATGTGAGTCTGGGACCAGACTTCTTTTTCCTCCTCCTCTTCCTTTGGCCCAAAGTCAACTCCAGTTAAGAGGAGAGGTGTACCTCCTTAATAATTGGATTAGTTGAGCCTTAAGAATTATTGAACAACTCAATGACTAATTTTGATTTTTAGGACTAAAAAATCTTTTTCTCCTTCCTGCCTCCCTCCCATCCCCAAATGAAAGGGGAGGCTTAATGTGTTTGAGATGTCAGCCTTGCTTTTGTGAGCTGATGGATGCTCAGAAGGGACAAGCTCAGTTTGTTTAAGGGAAATGTACTGAGTCACTGAAAATGTGGCGAAAGATGCCTGAGCAGGACTTTTTTTGTGCTGCTAAGAGACTGTACAGGATGCTCAGAGCAGAGGAAAGTTAGATTTTGGTGGCTTTTCTTATTACTTTTTTTTTTTCCATTTTTATAAAAAACCTTATTAACTTTTGAGGGAAATGTGTTAATTCTAACACGGTTCTTTTAACTGAAGGTTTTCCATACTTGTCTTTGAGTTTATGACTTGTAAACAGTTATAGAATTAGCTAGGAGTAAAATCCCACGCATTACTTGTCTTATGGAATCTGAAATTAGAGGAGTTAGATAATTGTGCCATCTAATAATTTTGATCTTGTTAGCTGAAGAGAAAGTTGTAATTGGGAAAGTGGGGATCTGCCCATTTTTGATTAAACTCTTAGGCCTCATCTGTAGGATGCTTTAAGATGCAAGAAAAAGGTACATGGCAACTTTGTGTTATACCCCCTGCATCCCATCCAGAAGAGACAGAGTTTTAACTGCTTACATGGATTCTGACCATTTTTGTCCTTCCCATTTGCAGGAACCCGGTGGCCTTAGTCCTTCAGGTGGAACAGCGTGAGACATGGGAAAGAAAACCAAGCGGACAGCTGACAGTTCTTCTTCAGAGGATGAGGAGGAGTACGTCGTGGAGAAGGTGCTAGACAGGCGTGTGGTTAAGGGGCAAGTGGAGTATCTACTGAAGTGGAAAGGCTTTTCCGAGTAAGTGCCTTCTCTCAGGCTTTGGGACTCTGCGCAGGTGGACGCAGACACAGACATTTCCCTGTGAACCATCACCATCTTTTTCTTTCACCACCTGCACTCCTTTCTAAGAGTCAGAAGACACAGCAATAAACTAAGCAAAATCTCCCTCTTCTTGGAGCTGATGTTGTAATGAGAATGCTTTTGAGAGGCAGTATAATGAACTGGTTAGGAGCATAGACTGGGGACCAGATTGCCTGGGTCCAGATTCTTGCTCTACCACTTATGATATGAGCTGGGTGACCTTGGTGAAGTTCCTTAATCTTTTTTCTTCCTCAATAAAATAGGGATTAGGAATAGTATATATCATAGAGACACTGGGGAGATGTGTAGAGCCTGACACATAAGCTCAATGTAAGTATAAACTGCTGCTGTTACTATTCCTTTGGATGTAACTAAGCTAAAACACATACATTTAAGCAGAAGTCGTAGTTGATCCCATAGCTTTCGATAATGATCCTTGGACCTCAAGAGTGTCCTAGGATGAAACACTCATCTTAATGAGAGACTTAAATCTGAGACCTCATTTTCCCCCCAATATTTATTTTTAAAAATTTCAAATATACATACAGCTGAGGCAAAAGAAATTGAGTGAACACTCAGATACACACCACCTAGTTTCTACAGTTAACATTTTAATATAATCTATTCCTTTATCTCTCAATTTATCTTTTATTATTATAAAACCCCTCTTTTTAGGTCAGTGAGCTTTAAGAATGGTATTGAAGTGTTGACTATTCAGAATTAGGCAGTAACTGACTTTATGTTGAAGTGCTAAAGTAGGTTATTCTTTCCTTTGGAATAAGTAGAACTAGACACACAAGCATAGGAGAGGTAGCTTGAAAAGTGAAATACGTGAAGCTGTGTAATCATTAGGCATTTTGCCTCAGTTTCTCACTAATTCTCTTCTCAGGATGCCTGATAACAAAGAATGGGTTTCTGTGACCCCAGTGAGCTTTTAGGAACTGGTTTAGGCTCCTCAGAGTGGTGCTGTCCAATAAAAATGTAATGCAAGCCACATATGTAATTTCAAATTTTATGGTGGCTACATTAAGGAAAAGTGGAATTAATTTTAATAATATATTTTATTAAGCACACTACATCAAAATGCTATTTCAAAATTAATTAATACAAAAGTTATTGATAAAATTTTACATTATTTTTCATGCTTAAGAATTCAAAATCTGATGTATATTTTACATTTTGTAGCACGTCTCAGTTCATAGTAGCCACATTTCATATACTCATTAGCCACATGTGGCTAGTAGTTACCATACTAAACATCACAACTTTGAAGTGTGAGACTTAAATACGATAAAAGATGGAATGTTTTGCCAGTACCTTTGGAGAAAGTTATGAACAGGAGCCTTAAGAATATATTTAAGGTTATTTTACTACATGAATCAAGTTTCTCATCTGGAGCACTGTTGGTGTTTTAGGTGGGGCAGTGTATGCACTGCACGATGCTTAGCATCTGTAGCACACACACACAGCACTAAATGTGGGTAGCACAGCAATCAGAATGTTCCCTCCATATTTCTAAAGAGGAGTGGCATCACAACATCTAGAGATGTGAACTATAAATTGGAGAGACCTAGAGCACCATGAGAAAGGAATTAAAATACACCTAAAGACTTTGAGGGTGTTTATTTGGCCCAGTGAATCACCACTGGAAATTGTTGGGCATTTTGAAGAATTTCAAGACTATATAATTGAGCTACTGGTACCTTACATACATAAAAGAGGAAAAGAAAAGGTTTAGGGTAGATGGATTAAACCTTTTTTTTTAGTATTTGTTTTTTTTGGCTGTGTCGGGTCTTAGTTGGGGCATGCGGGTCTTTCATTGGGGTGCGTGGGCTTCTCTGTAGCTGTGGCGCGTGGGCTCCAGAGCATGTGGGCTCTGTAGTTTGTGGCACGCGGGCTCTCTTGTTGAGGCGTGCGAGCTCAGTAGTTGTGGCGCACGGGCTTAGTTGCCCCGCAGCATGTGGGATCTTAGTTCCCCGACCACCACGGGTCGAACACGCGTCCCTGCATTGGAAGGCGGATTCTTTACCACTGGACCACCAAGGAAGTCCCAGATTAAACATTTGTCCTTACTTTGTCAGAAATATCCAGAGTTTATCATTAAAGACCGGAACAGATTGTGTCCCTTCAGCATTGTCTACAACTAAGTACCTACTGTTTACTAGGCAGTGGTCATATTCTACTTCATGTGTTCTCTTTAATTCTCATAACAGCCTTTAGAGGTATTTTCAGTTTACATATGAGGAAATTAGTTGTTTGCCAAAGATAACAGAACTGGTACGTGCTGAAACAAGGACCCAGCATCAGATTTCTTTGGCGCTAAAACCCAGATTCTTTATAAATTATACTGTGCTATCTTTTGGGTGAAAATTGATTGATGTAGAAACAACAATACCAATATGGTAGGAAAAGGGATAATCTCATTAGAAGACTGGCTTTCCTTGCTAGCAACAGAGATTCTCTCCTACCTCGGCATCTGCTTGCTTATTATGCTACAGTGTTGGCATGTCTCTTGATTTCCGTGCCTTAATTTCTCCTGGGATAGTAAACTTACATATATTGTGGATTTAGGAGAAAGTTATTGTATGAGGAAATTGTTTTGGTTTTTTTTTTTTCTTTTTGCTGAAAGAAGAGCTATGAGGAAGAGGCTTTTCCGGTTTTGGCTCAAATGTTTTAGAAATAAATTTTGTTTCATTCTTAAGCTGTTTTTGCAGAAAGTTGAAGTCTAGAGTAAATATCTCAGATTTTCCCATCATTCTGCTACTTAGTTATTATGGCATGTGTTCAAACCATTCCAATTTAAAGATACCTTATTCAAAAAACAAAAACAATGAAGGATCTAAAATGAATGGTGCATAAATGTAAAAAAATTTTCCTCAGTCAATGAAGGGATTATAGAAACTGCTATGATATATTTACAGATATATCTTAATGTAGCTAATTCTTACTATATAACCAAAAGAACCTCTGCCGCTGGCTAGGAGTGAAGACGATGCCTGGTCTAGTTTCTCCCGTGTAGAGACATCTCTTGCTTTGATTCCATAAACTGTAGATGGTAGTTGGTGGTTTGCTTTTCTAAAACCTATGCTGGGGATCCAGAGAACAGCTTTGTGAATACCAACTATTTGTTTTCTTCATAGTAGGACTCCCTTGATCCAAGTTTAATTAGACACAATTTTTTTAATTTGGATTGTTTTTGCTTATTAATATAAAAATGTATTTTGAAAAATGTATACCTAGTAACGATAGGTTGAATCCAGAGCGTTGAATTAATGCACTCCAAATTCCAGTTTTGAGTCTTTTCCTTTTTATGGTTCGTCTGTATTCTAATGATTTAAGCCCTTACTACCTCTTTTCTGATTATTTTAATCTTCTAATAACTTGTTGGCATTTCTTCAAAGTACAAGTAACATATTTAAGACAGTATAAACTGGAGTGCATTTAGAATTAGGTTGTCTTCTCTTCAGCATTTGCATAGATGATTATATGTATGAAATCACATTATTTTGCCGCTTACAAAGCAGAACTTATATTTGAGTGTTTAACAGCTTTATTGAGGTATAAGTTACATACCATAGGATTTATTTATTGAAAGTATAAAATTCAGTGATTTTTAGTAAATTTACAGAGTATGCAACCATCAGCATGCTCCAGTTTTAGAACATTTCTGTAACCTCCGAGAATTCCCTTGAACCTAAATATTTGTATGTAATCGCAAGCCCTAGCTACAGGGAACCACTGTTCTGCTTTCTGTTTTTAAATTTGTCTTTTTCCTAGAGGTTTCATTTAAATGGAATCAGACAATGTATAGTCTTTTGCATCTGTTTTCTTTCACTTAGCATGTTCTTTATATATATACATATATATATATAAATTTATTTATTTTTGGCTGCGTTGGATCTTCGTTGCTATGCGCAGGCTTTCTCTAGTTGCGGTGAGGGGGGCTACTCTTCCTTGTGGTGCGCAGGCCTCTCATTGCGGTGGCTTCTCTTGTTGCGGAGCACAGGCTCTAGGCGTGCAGGCTTCAGTAGTTGTGGCACGCAGGCTCAGTAGTTGTGACTCATGGGCTGTAGAGTGCGGGCTCAGTAGTTGTGGCGCACGGGCTTAGTTGCTCCACAGCATGTGGGATCTTCCCAGACCAGGGCTCTAGCCTGTGTCCCCTGCATTGGCAGGCATATTCCTAACCACTGCGCCACCAGGGAAGCCCGCTTAGCATGTTCTTGAGGTTCTTCCATGTTTTAGCATATATTAATACTGTGTTTCTTTTTGTTGCTAAATAGTATTCCATTGTCTGGATATACCACATTTTGTTTATCTATTCACCAATTGATAGACATTTGAATTGTTTTCTGTCTTTGGCTGTTAAAATGCTGCTATAAGTAATTGTGTGCAAGTTTTTTTTGTGGATATATTTTTTCTCTTGGTTAGGTTCCTAGGATCAAATTTGTTATCTCCTTTAAGCCAAGGTTCTTTCCTTTTTGCCTACTTGTTGTCTTTAAAATAAAGGCATTGGATTCCCTCTCCTCCCCGCCCCCCTCATTTCTTTCCTTTTTTCTCCATTCTTTTTGCCCAGGGAGCACAATACTTGGGAACCCGAGAAAAACTTGGATTGCCCTGAGCTAATTTCTGAGTTTATGAAAAAGTATAAGAAGATGAAGGAGGGTGAAAATAACAAACCCAGGGAGAAGTCAGAAGGTAACAAGAGGAAATCCAATTTCTCAAACAGTGCTGATGATATCAAATCCAAAAAAAAGAGAGAGGTAAGCTTTATTTCTCCTTTTTCCCCCGGCAAACTATTATCCTGCCTCCCCCAATCCCCCTCCTTCCAAAACAAGGGCATTATTTTGGTTATTTCTGTTCTAAGGATGGCCTGCAAGGTAAATTGTTGAACAAAAGAGCTTCCAGGGAGACATGTTGATCGACCACAGCGCCCCCTCCTGGATGAGTGAGAAACGTAATATGTGTTTGCTGAATTGCGTTAGGGTGGCAAAAATAAATCCCATAAAACGTTCAGCTACTCTGTGCCTTATCCATGAATAAGTGGCTAATTATCTTAGAGAGGGAGAGTCTTTGGTGAATTTTTTTAAGGATATAAAGGAGCTTTTAAAAAGCTTCACTTTTCTTTTGTTCCAAAGGTAGCACTTCTTTTATATTCTTTCTTTTTTTAATTAAGGTGAAATCCACATAAAATACAATTAACCATTTTAAAGTGAACAGTTCAGTGGCATGTATATTCTCTTTTTATCCTATTATATTTTTACATACTCCAAATTAATTTTCATCTTCCTTTTGAATCTTTTTATTGTTCAGTTTGGAAAAGTGTGTTTATGAAATTTTGGTTTGATTCAGTTGCCTTAATTCTTCTGAATTTTAGCTCTCAAGTAACTAGCCATAAGCAGTTATTGCCTCTCTCCTTTTTTCATCTATATCTTTTCCCTCTGGGCACACATATACACATACCCCACCCCTCAGCTTCCACTCCTTTCATTTATTTCAAGGTTGTGAAGCCTTTTGTGGTGAAGGATGTACTGTACCCTTAAAGTTTAATAAAATAAAAGCGTAAGTCTGCTTCTGAATCTTCTAGCATCACTGCCGTAAGCATCCTTATTTATCTTCATTCTCCTTGGATACCCATTTTTCTAGAGCATCAGTTCTCAGCCCTGGCTGCACATTAGGATCATGGCAGGGGACTGGGGGGTTGCTTCAAAAACCTCCAGTGCCCAAGACGCACCCCAGACCAATTAAATTCAGATTTCTGTGGGTCAGACCTAGGCATCAGTATTTTCTAGAGACTTAACACAAGTGATTCCTGGTCTCCCGAGGAAAGAAAATGGGAGACCAGCTTTCCAAAAAGAATTGAAATAAGAGTGAAAGATTGGAAGCTGCCAGTGGAAGTGGACTCTAGGTTTTTGTTTGTCTCCTTATTTGTTTCCCTAGTTAATTTTATGTTTTACAGTCTTATTTTCAAAACTGCCCTATTCTGGAGAGGTGTGTATATCATTGTGATACAGTGTACTGGTAAATAATTTGAGAATGCCTTCCCTTCTCTAAGGAGCTAAAACTTGTTTCTTTCTTTTTTTTTTTAGCCCTTTGTATTCTGGCTCTTGTCATTTGATTCATTTTCTAGCTAAGTAAAAAGACCAAAAAATAATGTAGCATAAGACTTCTGTAGCTATGACATACAGACATATTGTATAGTGTGTATTGGCTCAACCTAAGGCTTCTGTCCTTTTCAAAAGAAGCGACCTGGCTTTTAGACGCTGGCCAGTGCAGAGAGTTTTTTTCCTAGGCCAGGTTCTGTTGCTGCTGACCTTGAGACCCACCCCACGTGTCCCTTACATTGTAATGTTCATCTGGGGGCCCATAGCATTCTCAGCAGTGCTGGCGGCTGTCAGGTAGGCAGCTGGGAAGATAGGTGATTGTGTATCTTAAAGGTGCAGGAGGGGATTTCGTTTCTTTCTTCAGACCCCTGCAGAAGAACTTTGTTAGCCGGCATTATGCCTGATGTAAGATTACCGCCTGTGTAATGATTTTAGCATTTCCCTCACCTCGGCTCCCTTTCAGCAGCTTGAACAGTTTTCTTCCCTTCCCTCCCTATGTGGCAAACTGTTTTCAGCCGCCAGCTACGATTTACGACTTGGTTTGTGCACCAGCATTCCAGCTGTGAGCAGCTGTGTGCACATCTGGGAACCTCCTCCCTTTCAGCACCCTCCAAAAGAGGCTATGCTTTTGAGTCTGTATGTCCCCTGATTCATGCATGGAATTTCCTTCCCAGTGTGGGTTCTGGTATCTTTGGGGACCACCTGGATGCTGAATGTATCTCTCAGAAGAAAGCAAGGTGAATGTCAGATCAAAGAGATTTTATCATGAAAATCAGACAGAGATTTCGTTCACTTGGGCAGTCTATCTAAATCTTTTTTTATGTTGCCACTAGATAAGTGGCATTATCCTCCATAATGAGGTTTTTAAAATTACCTGGTTTGTATAAAATTTCACCCTTTTGCTCTCACCAGTGCCATTACACCTGAATCAGACCCTATGCTCCTTATCTAGATTGCAGTTTGACCAAGTTTGGATAATCCCCTATGGAATTATCAGTTTGTTTTAAATCACTGTCTGGTTCTGCTCTCTAAAGCTGATGACCTATCTCCATCAGGAGGGGATAGGCACAGATCAGGGCCTCTTCCCCAAGTGTGTGGGTATTACAGTATGTGAGCTCTGAAAGAAATTTTCTATTTTATGGTAGTGCCTTGAATCATTCTTATTTCTGTTCTTTCATAAATATAGATGACTATGTGAAAAGAAGTATTAAAAATATTTGTCAGTGTTAGGTGAACTAAAAGTCTAGAAAATAAAGATTGAGAGGTGGTATATTTGAAGTTTATAAAATGAAAAAGGATTTAGTTCAGGTGGGCTTGTTTATCATCTCAGAAGCAACAGTTTAGGGGTAGTCTGTTTATCATATCAAGATTAGATTAGGGGATTAGAGAAGTTACTAGATGATGACTCCAGAATATTTTGAGGGATATTACGCAGTTTTAGGGACCACTCCTAACCCTTTGAAGGAATATTTGAAGGACAACTGCATCTTCCTGCAAAAATATCTCTTAGCATCATTGTCACTGGCTGACCCAGTATTGTATTTAAGTTCTAAGAACTTTATGAATTGGGTGACAAAAATGGTGTCCGGTGATATTAACTTAGGTTGTGCTTTGTTGAGCTGAGGAATGGGGAGGTTTTTTACTCTTATCTCCAAGCTGTAACCTTTCTTCATCTTCTGTTTATAGCAGAGCAATGATATCGCTCGGGGCTTTGAGAGAGGATTGGAACCAGAAAAGATCATTGGGGCGACAGATTCCTGTGGCGATTTAATGTTCCTAATGAAATGGTGAGAGAGATTGGGCCTCACTCTGCGATTGTGTTTCTTTACCAGTGGCTTGAATTCGTATGGAAAGTAGGGAGGGAAGACTGAGTATTCCCCAACTAAGAATTTTGATCGTCAGTGATCTAAATTGTTAACTGATACCAACTGTCAGTATTAAATGGGAATTATGGTTCAGAATGGATTTAAGACATTGTAAAGCTTTGGTATGAAGCCAAATTATATTAGCCCACATACCAGAGAATGGTAGAATTGAGGTAAGAAGCAATATAAACGTGACCTAACCGTTTATTTACACAGTTCTGAATCATTTACCGTCACACCATGAGCCTGTGGCCATGGGATAGGAGTTGAGTGAGGCTTTCTGCCATCGTTGAAAACCAAGACCACTGAATAACGTCTAAAAGAGAAAAATCATCTTTAAAAAAAGCATTAAGAATAACACTAGCCAAAGCACAAGTTATTTCATCCGGTAGAGGGAATGGCTCTTAAAGGAAAGTGTGGTTACTTCCCTTCAGTTTGGTTTCTTAAAGACGAAGTGATTTATGGTGTGGCCCTCACTACCTCTCTTTTTCCAAGTGTTCTGGGCTTGTGATTTAAGTTTGGTCTCTAAATAGAGGGTTCGTCTACAGTGCCACAAAGGAAGCTAATTACATTACAAGTTGTATAGTCAAGAGGTTTAATATTTTATCTGATCGAAATTTTGCTGGTAAATTACCCAGAAGTCTATATTTGAAGAATCACTATACTCTCTCTGAAGTAAGGAGCTATATTGACTGCTTTTCCCACTCAGCCATATATGGGACTTATGACTTACATTCACATATTAACTAGCTTTTTCGACCACTGTCCAAATTTGGGTAGCTGCTCTGAGCTGTGTGTTTTCCCCCATCTCTTCTCATCCATAATGCTCACCTCTATGAATTCAACATCTCCGTTTTCTAGAGAAGGAGTTAGTTGTCTTTGCTCACATCTCAGTGGAATTTTAATTTAAAATATTTTTTTTTCTTGTTTTGGAATCCTGGTTAGTTAAGGAACTTGCTAGATTTTTTTGTTATACCGGAGAGTAGAGCATGTGTAACTTGGGTACTTGAAATTTGCAGCTAATTCCTACATTTCATTTTAGTGACTAGATTTTACATTCTCTGATGACTTAAATTTCTGTTTTCTTATTGTTCCAATCCACAGTTCTGACCAAAAGGATGAGTGTTTAAAAAGGCCACAAGATGGGGGTTAGGACCGTTTCACGATCCAGATGATCCAGAAACTGGATTGAGCAATTTATGCATAATCAATAGGCCTGAATGTAGGCTTGATTGTGTGTGCACTCACATGCTCATACACACAAATAAAAGTTATGGGAGCAGAATTTATATAGTAGTTTAGTTTTCAGCCTTTTGTTGAACCTGCTGTTTTCAGTCTATTCTAGCTGCAGACTTCTGTTTCTTTCTGATGTAGTGGTTAAATGATATTTACTGACAATTTGATTCATTTACTTAAATTTCTCCTTGAAAGTGTGGAACTGTTAGGATCCTTTTCCCTTTGAAATCAAGATGGAGAGGAAATCAAGTCAGCTAAATCATAATTTAATAACATAAATCTATGTTTGGACAGACTTTCGCTCTTCCTCTCGTTCTGAAGTCTCATATTCTTTCTCTCCAGGAAAGACACAGATGAAGCAGACCTGGTTCTTGCAAAAGAAGCTAATGTTAAATGTCCACAAATTGTGATAGCATTTTATGAAGAGAGACTGACGTGGCATGCATATCCTGAGGATGCGGAAAACAAAGAGAAAGAAACAGCAAAGAGCTAAAGGAGGGGGTGGTCTCTGCCATTTCTCTTTGTACATAATACATTCACCTCCCTGCCTCCTCTCCCTCTACCCACCCCCTTCTATCCTGAACACATCCATAAAAAATGTGCTTATCACTGTGCTCCACAGGAGAAATGTCGGTATTGGTTCTCTTGTAACATAACTGACGGTCTGATTCATGATAGGTGTCTCTCTGTGAAGACCAGGCATTTACATACTGTGTGTTAATTCTCACCAGTTTTTCCTTTGCCCTGCTCTCTTCCTTCTGCTCCCCTGTGACCTCAAGATGAGTTATAACTTTTTAATCACCTTAGAGTCTTGATCTTTTCAGGGTTGGTCGCTTTTTAGTGGGGGATTTTGCTATAATGATGATGAATTTTGGTTTCTTTCTTTGGCTGTTGGAACATGTTGATGACCAGCTAGGCTTTGTTTTGAGATGTTGGGTTGGAAAAGATGTTGCCCATCTTTTTAAAAAGCCAATAGCAACTGCCTACGTGTTGGGGCTTCCCCAGCCTCATTCAGCTGTACCCAGGAGAATACAGGGTTCCTCGTGTGGTCTTCTGGGCCACCCTCTGTTGTTCATCCTCACCCATCCTCCCAGAATAGCTCCATCCTTTGGAGGGCTTGAAATTTTACATTCCGATTTGTCAAGGCACTCCTTTTAGCCCCAGGACTTTTGGCCTCATCTCTTAGCAATCCCTGATTCTGCTTCTGCAAGTTCGTGTAGTCTGTCATAAAATGACAAGATTATTGACTGTGGAGATTTGTAGCTATTAGTACATGAGGATGACGGGGTAGGATACAATTGTCTTTATGATCACATACGGTATATATTATTTACTTCCATCCCTCCCATTTGGATTATCTATTTATGTAGGTGTGAGTGACTGCCTGGTGCTTGCTTGTGCCAAGGTGCTAGGCACCCTCCAGCCCTGCCAACTTTTGTGGCCTCCCAAAGCATTCCTGTTACCAAAGAGGCTTCAAACCTCACCCTCACTTCTCAGTGGACCCAAGTTTCCCTCCATGCCATTATTTTCAGTGGGGAATTCTTAGAGGGGAGCCATTGGCCACAGTATCAATTTTAAGTATTCATAGTGTTTATAATCATAAATGTCCTGCTTTGATGACTCCTGGATTTGCCACCAAGAGTCCCCAAAGTATTAATGCTCTTCCCTTTCTCCACCCTCAAACTCTTAGTTGTATCTTTTTTTTTTTTAAATGCATTTCCATGGAAGACTATCAACCTCAGAGAGTGACAGGCCCCGGCAGTAGCGTGTTGACACGACCTCTCCCTACTCAGCAAAATACTTCCCTTTTGGCTTCTTCCTGCTTTACCATTATATTGAGAGATTATTTTTCTGATTATATCCTCTGCCTTTGTTCCCCAAGAAACACCCTACTTCCCGTTACCCTTTTTTTCTTGTAGTTGAAGGGGGCTAGAGAATCAAGACTAAAAGTAAAGAAATAGCAGGGTTTTGAGCATCCTTGTCCCAGCCCGAAGCTGAGGAGATAAGAATAAATGCTTGAAATAGCCTTAACTCTAGAGTTCACCAGCCATTGAGGTTTTTGTGGTTGCTTTTGATTTTTAAAACATATATAGCTGTCTGGCAAGGAGCATTCAACCATTTCTAGATTATTCAGAGTAACGAGGGGAATGGAGAGGTTGCTCCAGTCCACAGATGAGCCGAATAATATGCAAATCATATACCCATTCATAGCATTTGTTAACATTGCTTCCCTGCTCAGCTGCTGATTGAGTTCTGTGTGGTTGTATAAATTATGTCAAAAATTATACTGCACGGTTGAGAAGACAGCTGTTGCTGCAGTGACATGACAGACTGGAACAATGGAGCTTTTGGTTTCAGCCATCCAGGAAAACCCTTCTGAATGGTAATGTGATTGGGTGAGAACGAATAACCCATACCTCAGGTGGGTAGGGGTTTTATCTCCATCTTCCTTAACTCTGAAGGAATTAAAGGCCTAGGTCAAGTGCTGGATAGTTGACAGTCGTTAGTACTTAATCTGATGGGCATCTGAAAGAAAGGATAGTCAGAAAAGAGATTTTTCATACAAGTAACTAAGGATATCAATTAGTGTATACCAGAATAGGACAGAAGTAGGCCAGAGCCACTGAGGAGGTGATCCGGGTCTTTTAAGTTGGCAGGTGGAGAAAATGACAGCTTATCCATGTAGCCAGAGTGTGTCTCCCAGGAGCAGTGGGTATGTAAGCAAAGTACAGTGACCATATTTTTAGAGCCCAAATCTAGCCTGTGGACAAAGAACACAACCAAATTATTTGGTACTAAGACTGGTCTTGAGAAACATGGGACACATGGTTGCCAGGGTTGTAGGTAATACGTAAGGCATTCATCAAAATCTGATTTCTTTTAACAAAAAACCCCCAGTATCGTCTACTGCTCATCACCCCTTTAATACTTCAGTCTTCGCTCCATTCATCTTTTTCTGTCCACAGTTTACTGAATCATGGTCTTGTACTGAGTGCTGCCCAAACAACTTGTTCTCTCCCTGCCTACCCACTGCTACTTCTGTAGGAACGGAGGGAGCCAGAGGCCAATACTGATCTCAGCCCTCAGCAGAAAGGAGACGGATGCTTGCCTGTTCTTCTGGCATTTGTTAGTGCTGAGTAGCTGTCCAGGCCCTTGGAGGATTGCAGCCTCAAAGAGAAACCTGCTTTCCTGGGGCTTTCTCCTCTCAGAAGAGTCAGTGGCCCTGGGCTAAGCACTCTTAAACATCTAGGTCTCAGGTGCTCAAAGTATATTTTTCTTATGTTAAGTCCTCTTTCAAAACATCTTTCTAATGCTGAATTTTTTCTTGAAATCAGCATTCAAGGATTTCTTTTTCCAGAGAATGTAGCAGAGCTTTGACCAGCAGAGTCTACCAAGGTCAGCATAGCTGCTTTTCTGAGCCGTGGGCTGGGCGGATCCCCTCACATTAAGATCAGCTGTTAGAGAACGTCAGCCCTGATGGAAGCACCCATTTTTAACCTGGAGAGAGCCGTATCATTTTTCCTCCTGCAGTCCAGTTTTCATCTGCTCAAGGGAGCATTTGGACCTGTGGTGTTCCTTAATGCTCGAAAGTCTATGGTCCTTGGCTGGCCCCCAGCCGTATATCCGTACTACTTTTTTTTGTTGAAGAAAATTTGGTCTTTTTCCTGTAGTTCCTGCAGTTTTAGATTCTTCTTAACTCTTCGTACTTGTGCTGTAGCCTCCCTGCAATCCAATTTCCTTATCTTTAGGCCACATCCTTTGGCCTCAGGGAAGGTGCCTGTGATTTTCATCTTGTGGTTTTGTCTAATCTGTGTGTAGCCCAGCTTACCTAAGGTACAGTGACGGATCCGTGTTTGGGCTGGGGAGTGATTGTTTTTGCCTTTAGGGTTCAAATTTGAGGGCCTAAAATAAGTTTGCAGTGACCTGAGAACTTCAGGAAGGGTTATATCATTAGATTTGAAATGTGGAAATGGTTTCTCACAAATTAGGTCAAAGGAAAAGCTCATTTTGCACCCATGACTCCATCCTTTTGGTTTAGGTTTTTAGAGTGTTGAGATCTGTACCTTTGTAATTAGACCACCAAGCAAGCATACCTGTGTCAGGTCAGAGAGAGGAAAGGTCTGGACCCAGTGTATTTGTTTCATTTTGGCTTTACCACTAATCATAAAAGTTATGTTTTCAAAAATAGAGATGTTACCAGCCTTGCCCCCAAGAACACATGCTCGGAATTGCCCGCCCCCCAGATTAATCATGGTGGATTTCTATCGCGCCATCCACATTCCAGCCGCCTTAGTGAACATCAACATGTATTTCATTCAACGGACATTTTTTGGCCCTGGGAATACCAAGTTCAAAAAGATGCAGTCCCTGACCTCAAAGAATTTTCATACAGGTGTGGGATGAACTACTACCAGTTCATTGTAATAAATGCTACAAATGGGCACACATTTTATATTTGAGGGCAGAGACAACTGACTGGTTGGTATAGTTTGTGGCCCTAAAGTAGGAGGGTGACAACTGGTTCGTGTGTAGAAAAGACGTGATCTTGGGTGAATTGAACTAACTGGCCATAGATGGACCACAACAAGGGGTTGTTTTATTCCAGAAAATAAAGATAACAGGTTTGGTTAGAAATGCTACTACAAGAGAAAGGTGAGTGGAGGTTGAGAACCCCTGGCTTCAGTCCCTATTCGAGGCTCTTTGCCAAAGTATTTAAAGGTAGTTAATCCTTGCTTGTGGAAGGTATTAACTATGTTGCAGATCCAGTTACATGTTGTTGCTTTATTGTGGGTTCTGTAAAATGTATTCCTTATGGATACTTCATCAGTGTTGCTCACACCTTTTTCAGTTTCTCATCCGTTTTGAAGGAATTAACATGAGGCTGGCCTGAAGCCTAAAACAGGGACATACTTTCCAATGACAGAAGATTTGCCAAGAAGAAAAAAAAAGGCTTGGGGCACATCTGGTAACACCTGGGCATCTATTCTGGGCAGTGTAGTTTTATTTAACCCCTCAAGATGGGGATTTCTAAGCAGAGACTTGTGGCACTTATGTGGAAACCTCTCCCAGAAATACACGTGACCCAGAGTTTCGGATTTAATCAGCCTAGGGAGGTCCAGGGTGAGGCCTAGCCCTGTGAAGAAACAGTCTGACCTTAAGAAATATCCTAGTTCTGACCATGTGACCACAGGAAAAATGCTACTTTTCTCTGCCTGCATAATTGAGAGTTGGATAATTGAAAGTTGACTCAAGTGTGAAGGTTCCTTGGATAGCTTCATAAAAATTCTAGTTTCTTTTTGCTTGCGCTGGATTTCTTGGATTTTAAACTACCTCATCTCGTCTTTTTAGAGTTACTTCAGCTTGTCGTTGCCACTTTAACATCATGCTTGACTGTGGTGGTTTTCTAAGATGGAATGTTTCCTATTTGTTGAGAGCGTGTTTTCTTGCCTTTTATCCTGGTCCTCATTTCACCTAACATCATCACATGTTGCTCCTCTGTCAGAGAAATATTTTAAGATAGTTTAAAATCTTGGTTCATGGGAAGAAAGAGACCCTCCAATGCTATATTTGTCTCTGAGGTCAGTGAGAGAAGGAGTTAAAACAAGGTGGTGGGGGAAGGGACAGAACCTGCACTGGAGGCAGCTGACAGGGGAAGAACCATTAATTAAAACAATTTCAAAGTCAACTGATTGTGATCATTAATGTCACAATAGATCAAAACCTAATTATCACTGCCTAGGTAAGAGCCATCAGTATTAATCAGAAAGTCTAATAGGAAACTATTATCAAGAAATTAGGCCAAATTGAATGCAACGAACTTCTTGCCATTCTCTCTCCTCTCCTTTTTTTCTTTTTTCTTTTTTTTTTTAATTTGGCGATGTCCCCTGGCATTGGCAGGTGTGACCCTCACAGTTGACCCAGGCCCCAGTGGCCAGTTTGTCATGATTTCTGAGAAATTCCAACACAGACTGAACCTGAACTGTCACTGCTGCTTTAATTAGTCTTGAACTTTCTCATCATCTGGTCTCACCCAATGCGATCAGCCATCAATGAAAAAAGGTTTATATTTAGGTCTTGGAACGGTTGGTCCTTCCTGGAACTAGAGCATCCCTGGTGAACATTATACTCTGTGTGCTGATAAATCATTCTTCGAGCTCCTTAGGTACGTAGGGTCCTGTTGCTCTGGCTACTGCAAGTAGGTATGGAGGAAAGGAGGGGCTTCCTGCCTAGAGATCCTTCCAGAAGACCTTAGAAGATAGAGTTTCATCATGTCACGGCCCTTTTAAGGCTCGAGTCACTGTTTTGCAGTTTCCAGGAGCTTTAGGATTTGATTCTAAACCAGGACTGGCTGTGGTTTTAAGTTTTTTTCCCCTTCGTTTTAGGGTAAGGGTCATAGTGATTTCTCCCAGAATCCAGTGTAAATCCAAAGGAGGGGGGAACATGTTTTTTCTTTTGCCTTTCTTTTGTTAAAGATTTATGCCTCTGGCAGGAGGTAAGAATATGACAAGTGTCTTCTGACTAGTTATAGGGATCACTTTATACCCTCTCCCTGAATGGAAAAGTAAGTGTCACCATCTATATCCTTAACTGTTTTTGAAGATACTGCAATTCCTGAGGTTGAGCTGAGGCAGAAAGATTGGAAAGATGCTGGCCCTGGGTATTGTGGGGAGGGATGAGTAGCAGCAGGGGGTGTTTGGTGGTTCTAGGGTTCCTAGCTTAGCCTGTAGAGAATGTTGCTGCTGCCACCGCAGTGGCTGGCCTTTCCCCACCAACCTTGGAGCTCAGAGCACTACCCAGACCACCACTGAGGAAGTTGTTCTTAGCTTTCTGCTTGAGTGTGGTCTTGCTTCACTCTGAATTTTAGGAATTTGGGTTACTCAGTATAGAACTTCGAGAAATTGGTGTGACTTAGTCCTTCACCTCTTAAGGTAAAGTGAGTATTTCTTTACAAAAGAATTCATGCCCTGGGCTTCCCTGGTGGCGCAATGGTTGGGAGTCCGCCTGCCGATGCAGGGGACGCGGGTTTGTGCCCCGGTCTGGGAGGATCCCACATGCCGCGGAGCGGGTGGGCCCGTGGGCCATGGCCGCTGAGCCTGCGCGTCTGGAGCCTGTGCTCTGCGACGGGAGGGGCCGCAGCAGTGAGAGGCCCGCGTACCGCAAAAAAAAAAAAAAAAAAAGAATTCATGCCCTTAATGTTTAAACTGTAATTTTATTTTCAAGACACCCATTAACACATGACTTTCAGAAGCAACTTCTTTCTTCAAGGTTCCTTGCGTTGTGCTAGATAAATAAATGGGCCATCAGTTAATACTTGTGGGTTGATTTAGTTCATCTGGTTTGCAGGGTGAGGCGTGCTACCGGCTTCCTTTTGCTCCCAAGTGCACTCTTAAGATGTAAAATGCTCCGGGGATGGACAAGAATTGAGTGGATGCTGACTATGGTGCCAACCTCCTCAACTGATTCATAATGGCTGACCTTGGGCAAGTCACTCCTTTCAATGCCTCAGTTCCCCATCTGTCAAATGGGGATAATAATACTGACCTACCTCACAGGGGTGTTGTGAGGCATTGTAAATCAAAGTTGCTAGAATACTTTAGGGTCCTCGATGGAGGATGCCCTGAGCCGAGGTCTAGGCCTGCCATAGGCTTTTGTCCTCACTGAGCTGTCCCAAGGTTGGAACTACTTAGTGACCTTGGCAAATTCTCTGCCCCCCACCCCTCATCAAAGCTGCTAGTTCAGATGTTGACAGTGTTTCCATGAATGTTGAAGTCCTAATAGTCCAGACTTAACGTAGGATGTTACGGGGGAAAGCACTTAGTATATTTTATGTCTTGCATCCACAAAGAGAGGCTGTTTGAGACCCAAGAGCATTGGATTAGGGAATCAGGGATGCTGCTGCTGCTTTCTCTGCTGGTTGGGAATTAAGGTCCCATACCCCATGGGCTTGGAACAGACTTGGGTTGTCTCGGGAGCAGAGCACACACAGTGGGTTTGAGTTATATCTTGGCTTGCTGCTCCCTGAACCGATCCCAGGACGGCTGGGTCACTTCACCCCTTCGTGGTATCTGTACCCGAGCCTTTGCCTCCCCATAGGAACCAGATGGTTCAATAAGCGTAACCACTTCTTCCATCCCCCACCAAAAAAGAGCCACATCTTGGAAAATTTTTTTTTCTAGAGATAAGCTTAACACTCAGAATTGGGCAGTGATGCTCCTGAAAGCTTCATCCAGTTCACTGTGTTCAGCACCTGTCATCTCTTTCTCGGTGTCCACTGTCTGAACCTGACTTTGACCTTTCTTCCCTCTGGTTTGGGAAAGCTTTGGACACTTTGTATTTGCCCAGGTGTGGGCCCAAGAGCCTTGCTCTCCGTCTCAGTTCAGGGGCTCGGCTGGCTCCTCTCCCCAACAGGGCTCTTTCTCCTTTCCCTCTCCTTGGCCCTAGATGTGTAACCCCTGAAAAAGCACAAGGTCCTGGCCCCTTGCCGCGGTCACATTCTGGTTCTCAGTGTTTCGTGGACTCTGCTCCTCTGTTGACTGCACTGGCGGCACCAGGCGGTTCTGTGGAGTCCTGGAGGATGGAGAGAGCACGGTCTGCCATCCTGCCAAGTAGCCAGGAGTTGATTTGCCCACGGCCACAGGCCTTCTCACCCCTTCCCACAGGATGGGATCTGAGAGATTCCAGAGGCTGGGTTTCTTTCAGCAGTCGGTACCATCCTGAGTAGCAAAACAAATCACACTTTGTAGCCAGATTTCTGAATGGAAAAATGGGAAATTGAATTCTCTATGGACCTTTTTGGTTTGTGGGGGAGTTTTGGTTGTGTTTCTGGGTTTTATTTCAGCCAAACATGTCTGCTTTTGATTTTTTTTTTTTAGGATAAGTGATATATATATATATATATATATATATGTTCGCCTTTTAAATGTAAATGTTTAAAAGTAGGCAATTTATGTGTTTCCACAACTGACATCTGATGCAGACCTCATTCTCTCCCCCTCTTCCACTCTCCTCTTTTCCCTCTTTTCATACTCTTGTATTGGTTCTAATAAATGGTTGCTTTTCACATACGGATCCTGAGTGGTGGTTTCCAAAATCTGGGTCTTACACTCCTTCGTTAATTTGGGCCCCAAATGTCATCCAGTGGCTGCGCATGCGTTTGTGATAGAGCTGGGAGGCTTAGAGAGCAAGGGCTTTTTTCTAAGGATTGTCGGTCTCTGACTTTGTGCAAATAGCCACAGGGTGGCGCAAGCCTGAGGGAGTAAGAGAACGTGTATCCTGTTCCCTGCTCCTTCCGGTAACCCCTTCAGACTGTATGCCTTCCTGGTCTTGGAGCTGGTGTCTCCTTGAAATGGCTGAGAGAGTAAACATTAACCCTTAGGAACCCAGGGGACCCCTAGAAAAGTCAGCCCCTGGTTATTAGAATTTGTGGAAAACCACATGGACAAA